TGTGTGTGTGTGTGTGTGGTGTGTGTGTGTGTGTGTGTGTGTGTATGTGCTTTAAATGTTAGTTCTGGTGGAACTTCTGTCCTTGACATGCAAATCAAGCACTTTACAGGCCAAGCTATGTTCCTAGGCCAGGAGGTGTTATTTTCAGGGAAATAAACAGAATTCCCTTGTAGTTCTTTGAAAATCTATCAATTTCTAGTCACATCTTTCAAGATTTTTTTCTGAGTAGGCTAGGAAGGGAGAATGATGACAGAGAAAGGAAGAGAACCATCTAGGGGCCAGAGAACACAGAAGTCCTCAACACCCTGCAAAGAGAATGCTTAGAAGGCTTTTAACTGCAGACTGACACTAACAGATTTGTCTTCATTTCAGCACTATGTTCAGATGATGCTAGAGAGCAAGTACCAACTGGGGCCTTTGTTTATGCTCTGTGAATCCATTTGTTTTCTAAGCTTATAAAAGACAAAAGACAATTTTTAAGCACACATATGATTTGGTTTGTACACATGCCTTTGAAAGGTTTCATTTAGCTAAATCTTTTTTTTTTTCTTCAAATTAGGAAATTTTCAAAGTATGGAGACTTAGTATTCTGTACCCTCCAGAAACATTCATCAGCTACAGTGATACATAAAGCTGTTACATTAGACTTTACCAAATGTTCAATTAGCCACTCTCTGTGCTGTCCTGAATGAGGCTGTTTGAAGGCTCTACTCTCTCCCTTGGATGCTGAAGGTCACAATGCCCAACTATACCTCTTCAAACAACTGATCACACAACACATGACATCCATGGCACTGTAGAGAATGCAAAGCAGAAGTTGCCTTTTCTATCACCTCTCCCATCTAAGATATCTGGTAGTGAATGTACAGAGACAACTATTATCCATTGTAGCTAAGTGGCAGATATCCTACTAAGGATGGCAATGTAAGGTCCAAGAGACAATACCCTAACAAATGTATGGAGTTAGATGATCCTAAGAAACAGCTACCAGGAATCAAGTGGCTGATGTTAATAAAGACCCAGCTGGCACCCCACCTGGGCAGCCCACTAGAGCTGACCCTGTTGTGGGTCCATCCCTGAGGGCATGATAGCTGACCACCCCACAGTCCCATCCCCATGTGCTCCTTACATCAATCAGGAGAGAGGTTCTCTGCACCTCACCTGGGCAAAACAGTAGAGTTGGCCCTGGTGATGTGAGTATGTGTGACCAGTATCTGAGGACCTAAGATCAGGAAAATTTGCCCTGCTCCTTGCTGTAGGCTACACCGTGTGAGCTAGCTGAGGAAGTGCTGAGAGCTCCTCCAAGTAGTGATGAGGAAGGAAAGCTAGGAAGCTGACCAACCCACTCCCAACCAGGCCCAGAACCATGGCTATGAGTTAGCCCACCCCAACATCCACAGAATCTGTGAATAACTGTTGGAGCATGTGTAGGGAATGAATCTACAGATCCAAAAGTGCAGGATCTCCATGATACAGGACAACAACAGGACAGTCAAGAGGAGCCCCAGTGAGTTATGTAGCAGAAACTAAAGGCCTTGTGGTGGGGGAATGTCCTTCTGTGTATATGTTTGTCTTATTGGTTGATAAATAAAGTACTTTTGGCCAATAGGAAAGCAAGATAGGTGGGACTAGGAGTCAAGGAGAATTCTGGGAAATGTAGTTAAGAGATCCAGGCAGGAAGTGACATAGCAGGCAGACTCAGGATATAAGCAGGGTCAAGAAGGAAATTGTCCTCTTGCTCTCCCTCTTCCTCCTGCTCTCTGCTCTGGAGCCACCATGTGATCTTGGCAAGAGAGGACACATTCCATGAGAATAAGTCTTATGATTATAGTTGATAATTAAGACTGAACTAGCAGATAAGATTTTCTGGTCATTGGCCAACAGCATTGTAAATAATATTAATCTCTGTGTGTTATTTGAGGCCCTAAAGCAGTGGGCAGAACTCAGGCGGCTGGAGGAAAGCACCCACGTGGCGGCAGGGCTCGGGTGGCTTTGGTGTAAAAAGATTTATCATTACAGTTTTGAGTCAGACCAATGACTAGGCAATGAATACTTGCAAGAAAAGATGAATGGACTAAAGGGTAAACTATGTGACTCAACAGGCCACACTATAGCTTCCATGATAAGAATCTTCTTCTTTTGCTTTTGTTTTGTTTCTTTGTTTTGTTTGGGTTTTGGATTTTCTTTTATATTTGGTTTTGTTGTGAGAGGAAATTGCAAGGGCAGAGGGCTGATTCAAGGGGACAGGGAGATAAGTAGGATCAGAAATCATGATGTGAAATCTACAAAGAATCAATAAGAGTGTGTGTGTGTGTGTGTGTGTGTGTGTGTGTGTAAAATTAGAGCCAGCTACATTCATTCTTATACTTTAATTGTCTTGCTTCTCTGTGTTCTTACAATGCTATCAATTAACTTAGGTTTGACACCCAGCTTCCTCAATTTCTATAGAATTGATTAATTATTCTGTCTCCATATTTATCAATAAAATGTGGTGGGGTTCTTAGTGATACCATGGGCATGAGATAATATAAAATACAATCTAAAATTCTAGTACACTCCTCAGCAAAGGGAAGGTGTTTAGAAAATAACAGGATGTAAAAAGAGTTGTTATTAAATACATAAGCATCACTACAGTTCTTAGCATTAAATTTTTATTTAACAATTCCCAGGCTTAATTAGAATTCCATTAGTCCTTCCTGTCCTAGCTAGCGGCATGTCAACAGCAGCGATAGTGTTAAAATCCAGGCAAACCTTTAAAATGTCACTTGTTCACTCAGTTTCTTGCCTCATTTGTTTCTTATTTGTTCAACTCTCAAGTTTTTTACACTAGAAAACGCTTTCTGTCTTAGTAGCCTTAAATGTTATCATGAGTCAGGGAACCTGGAAGCTGAAAACAAGTAAATTGTGTTTTTACAGTCTTCAATATTCTAGATGAATCTTAATAAAACTCTATGAGAGATGCACCAAGCCCTGTAAATCTATTTTTCAATATACCAACTGACAATCTGTAAAAGTCTGCGGTATGTGTGCCTCTCTCTCTCTCTCTCTCTCTCTCTCTCTCTCTCTCTCTGTGTGTGTGTGTGTGTGTGTGTGTGTGTATGTGAGTGTGTGTGTGCAGCAATGTCTGCTCTGAAGGAGCTACACTTCACACAGATGTAATAAAATTCACACACTGATAATTTTGAAAGGTAAAAGGAACCTCTCAGGTGACAACCCAGCCTGCCTCTATCTTAGGCTTGAAAACCATCTTACAGTAATAACAAACTAGATTCATTTTGGTTTATGATTAAATATGTTTCCCAAGGATTGGGATATGTCCAACCTGTAACCTTAACTTCAACTGGTTCTGTACTGCCTGTTCCAGGAAATGGAACCATGCCTTTGTTTCAAAAAGGTTATTATGGCCACCTGTTGTTATGACCACCTTGTTATGATCACTTTGCAGCCATGTCTTTGTTTCAGAAGTGCATTTTGACCAACTTGTTATGTTTATGTTCTGTTTCTATAACCCCACCTATTTGCCTGCCAAATCCTCATTTGGATACCCCCTACTCCTGAACTATAAAAAACCTTATCTCACCCATGTCTAATGCTGATCTCTTGAATCCTACCTTTAGGGAAAGACACCCCATGCACACAAATTTTTAAAGACTTGCTTTAATTTATTGCTTGCTTTAATTAATTTGGCCATAATTTGGCCAAATTTTTTCTCCTAGACTCTGTGGGATTAACATTGGTACTATATTTCTTTTCCTTTACTAGAGTAATTTTAGCTTCAGAGATTCAGTGCCTGAAATGAATATGATGACATGAAAAGTATAGTCCTCAAATGCAATGTGTGCACTGGAATGATGTGAAGTACAGCCCTGGGCCAGGAGGAGAGGGTTCATATATCCTGTATGTAATAGGATCCAAACCAAAGCACCACAACAGCTAATACAATGGATAGAATCCTGCTGAGCCCTTTATTATACTAGGATGGATAGGTGCTTGCCTCCATCTATTTTATTCATTTTTCTGGAAGATTTAAGGGGAGGAGAACTTAAAGCAAGGGAGCTAAAATTACTCGTGATAGCTAGAAAGACTCAATAAACAAGCATCACTCTCATATTCCAGCTAGCACAAGAGCCTTAGGTCAGAGATCACTAACTTTCATTCTTCTCATTGGCCTCAGCTATACCATAGTGTGAGCTACTCTTATCAGGCCAATACATCCCTAAAAAAGAAGCACTGAGAGTGGAAAGGGAACTCTGATATCAAAGTTATACTCGGATTTTCAAAGCTGAGAGCAAAATTAAAGGTATATCAAAGGTAGATAAAAGGCTATGATCTCTTTCTGAAGATCAATATCACCCAGGAGCTGAATCTCCAGCATATCCATCATCCTATTGCAACAAGACCACCTAAGAAATAAATTAACTCAGTGGCTTCCACTAGAACTGCAGGTAAAAGTCACCCACCAGGGAAGTTCTTAGGGGTATGCAGGCCAACTGAAGTAGGCCATCTGTGCATGGGGCTCATGGTGTGGCTTTTAACCTCTCAGTGATTCTAATTCTAGCTATGCTGGAACTTACTGGTTTAAGGAAGCAGTATGCTGATGCACTGCAAACACACATTTAAGGCAAATCTTGACTATTCTTTGAATCAGACCACCTCTCCTCTGTTCCATTAATGAAGACATTCTGAAGCTAGCAATGACATATTGCAGATCATATAACTGAAGATCTGAGCTAAGGCTAATAGGACCACCTCACATTTACAAAATTCCCAGGCTTTTTAATTCTTGGCACATCTGGCCCTTTACACAGAAAAGCTTCCCAGTACTTAGGCTTAGATGACACATATTCAGTCTTGTCACCATCAACTCTAAGTAGCAGCATTGGCTGTCATTGGCTGTCCATCTGTGAGTGGGATACTCTTCAGGATGCTCCACACACATATCACCAATAGTCACACCTTGATATGGTGAAATTCCATATTCTCTTTGTTATCTCAACCCAAGACCCCATCTGTTTTATACCACAACTCATTCAACAGTCCTTCCTCAGCCACCTGTGTTCAATATGGACTCCCTCCACTCTTTCTATGTACTAAACTTTGTAAAGCAAACTTTTTCAAACCCCCCACTGGCTTCAACTTTTCCTAAAATAAAAGCTAGGTTCCTTGCCAAGGTCTGGAGAGCTTGTACATTTCAGCTTCCTCTTCACCCATTCTCATCTGTGCTCCCCTTTGCTTTGAACATCAAGATCAAGCCAGAACTGACCCCTTTCCAGTGTGAGAAATCCTGGGTTGGTGGCTTTGTTTATTTGTTTGTTTGTTTGTTTGTGTTTGCTGCTCTATGGCTGTTCAGCCTGGTTCTTGTGCTTGATCTGCTTGCCCAGACTCTCTCAGCCCTTCAGTGTCATGTTAAAACACCATCTGTATTAAGAAAGCTTTCCTGTTTACTCTGTCCAAGTAGCTATCCACCCTTTTTCCATTTGCTTTCTACAACTCCACACTGTCTGTTTCTTTCTTCATACTAAACCACCATTTGCAAGTGCTTTTTGTAAGTTATTGTTTTTGTCTTCTCTCACAAGAGAGCAGCACTTCAATGACAAGAAATCCATCACTTGTAGTCATCAAAGTACCCACACACATCATCTAGCACAATGCCCAGTTCTTCACCTCTTTGTAATATTTTTGGATGAAGAGAGGCATCCATTTTACATATATCAAATGAGCTAATTAATGAGGACAAACAGCTAAGAAGCACTGTTGTAGGAATCTGTCTTCTTAAAGGGAATGAAACATTCTCCTGGAGTTTATTCAGCAATCTATTATAACTGATCATGTTTCTCCTGAAGAACTTAGATGACTGTAATGGTCCTGAATCTCCTTCCTTCCACACATGATCTAAGCTAACTGTAACTGTCCATGTCCTAAGCATATCCAGCTGTTAGCTTGAAGTCAGGAGGATTTTGCAACAGTGGAAATCCTTAAATTGTTAAAATGTGTCTGTCACAAAGTGTTTGTCTGAAGTGCTGTCTACTCTGCCCCGCGGGAAGCTCCTGTGTTTTATCAAGTTGCAATCCAGTTGGATCACCAATGGGGATTTCCCTATGGTCAAGGAGGGATGTGGCTTGTTCACACCAGAAAATACATTACCCCCCCCAACACACACACGCCATTGTTATCCTGGCCATGGCAGAGACTACTTTTTGATGGATCTTCCAGGACTTTCTTACCTGCACAGTTCTGCTGAGGCTCCCAGTGCACTTTGATGCCTTCTCTCTGGCAGGCACGGGTATATGCCAGAAATGACTCACAATAACAGTTTTTATGGACTGGACATTCACACATGTCTGTCACACAGGACCTATGTGTCACAAGAGAAAGAAAATATCATTTTAATATACCAAATAATCAAAGACTTGAAATGATAGCTGTGAAACTATGTTGCGTGGACATGTGAAAATTAGTGTAAAAATTCTTAGGCAATCTTGCTTAATGCCTCTGAACACTGTGATATCAGGTCTTTAAGGGGACTATCACAAAGAACTTGTTGCCATGTCAAAAATGTTCTAATATTCTTACCATTCAAAGTAGCCACTACCTGTATTTGTCTACTGAGGACTTGGCATGTGGCTGGAGCTACTGAGCAACTGAATGTCTGATTTGACTTAATCTTAATTACCATAGTTGTAAACAGCCACTGAACCTAGAGGCTACCTACTGACAAGGCAGCTCCTGGAACACAGGCATCAATAACATGTTGCCATTTGTGACTGAAATGATACAAGAATGGTTGGCTCTACTGTAACAAAGTCAAACACACTGAGCAATTTGATAAAAGCATGAAAGCCCATGGCTTTGGGGTATGCAATTAGCATTCTCTCTTGCAAGGTTGTGCATACCAGTCTCATCTTTAGGATGCCAGATAACACATTCCCAAGAAAGCAATCATTTCTGATTCTTAATTAGGTCAAGCAAGGAAGAGGATTGAAGTTTAAATATGAAAATGAATGACCAAGATATAAATTAAGCTGAAATATGTTTAAAGGCAAACAAGTTTTTAAACATCTCAACTAGACTAGACAAGCATAATAACAAATTTGCATCGTGATAGAATATTACAGATTACAAATTGCTTTGGCAGATTGTCTGTCACAGAATAATAAACAAGGCCTACTGAGTAGAGTTCCAGTGTTAGAAATAAAGGGATCCATAAACAGATGTGCCCAAATTCATACTCACAAGCAATGAAAGAGCAAATCAAATTCTGCTTCCTGACTTTGAGCACTCCACTCTTATTATATCATGCTAAAACCCTCACCTTCTTAGACTACTACTCTACAGTTGAGTTGACTTTAATGTAAAAGAACTCCATGATTAATAAAATTAAGTTAATCTTACTTTTTTCAAGTCTTTGTTTAACAATTTTCTTCCTTGCTGAACCAATTTCAAGATGGAATGAATAAAAATAATCAAGATTTTAATGATACACATGATCCTGAAACATGTTTGGGACATGGCTATCCAGTTCAACACACAGATGTTTCTCTCAGTATGGGGCATATAATCTACTGGCTGTAGAGAGAGAGCTCAGTTAACACTGGGTATTAGTTGGTATAGCACCTGTTTCAGGATAAGAATGAAAGGACAGAAACTATTCAACACACAGTCTTGAGAAATGGGGACTAGCAGAGACAAAGGAAACACAGGGCAGAAACAAGAGCTTTTTGCACTTCACTGATGATGTTGCCAAGGGCACAAAGGGCACAAATGAGACACGGATCTCTCTCATTTCTGTAATGATCAGAGCTACATTTCATCATCCCTCACCCACCTTCACCACAGAAATTCCCTGAATCATATTCCAGCAAATGTAACCAGGCGCTGAATACACAGTGGTGTCTTTGCACTGGAGGATGCCTCTAGATTTCCCAAGGAAAGTCAGATTAAGTAGCTATTCCATATTGCCTATGCATCCTCACTGACCTCATGTCCTTTCATGTTTCAGTGTTGATTCCAGAAAACCCCTCATCTATCAACTTCACATTCCGAGTTTACAAACAGCATTGTTGGAGACTCCAAGCTCTACCTCTACTGTCATTCCTACTTTACACCTATAATAGGCCTTTGTCTCCCTATGGTGGCCTGTGCAGAGGTCTTTCCCCTGTACACACAGACTCACTGGCATGGTACAGGTAGAATGACATCTAATGGACCTGGTAAATGATGGAGTTATATGGGAAAGGTGTGGTCCAAATAAAGATTCTTATTTTTAACAGGGAATCCATGCAAACAGAGACCAGATATAAGGATTTTCAGAACAATGGAGTTTAAGAAAAGAGGTGATAACCTACACTGTCTACAACAGGGGCCCATTTAAACAAACTTTGGTGACTGTCGAATGAAATACTCTACAGCCATTACACTGTCATTTTGTAAATATTAAAATGTGGAAAATATTCAGGGTAGATTAACAAGGGCAAGCAATATAAAATTTGGTATTGTATAATCACAGAAACAAATTAAAACAGATAAGCTCAAATGTTCATAATAGCCCTCTTGGAATGGCAAAATTATATTATAGCTCTCATTATCTTTTAACTCTCTACAATTAATATACCTCATGTATGAAAAAATATAAAAAGAAGCACGGAATGCATAAGTATTTAATCACAATTTAGGAACTAAAGTTGTAAGATAGGTAAACAATCAGAGAAGTTCACAGTATCCATTTATTGGTCTTAGTTTTTAAATTATGCCACTAAAATATTTCTGGTCTCTATTGGGACTGCTGATAGACTTTTATTAGTTCCACTTAGTGTTGTCCTCACATTGCTCTCTTGATACTATGAACTTGACATCCAGACAGATGGAACAGATAACAGAAAAATTATACATACTTTTTCTGGTTACAAAGGAATTTATTACCAGAAAACTAAAAGCATCTTGAAATGCATTTCAAATCAACTTCAGGAGGGGAATGACTGTTATTCAACTGTTCCATTCATGTTTATCACACTTAATAATTTAGTACAAGGCTAATGTAGTTTATGAGATGTGGCATTGAACTGATTTAATTAGTGTGTGTGTGTGTGTGTGTGTGTGTGTGTGTGTGTGTTATCTTAGGTGGCAAGATTTTAATGACTTTTAGTGTTGTTGCGATTTATGGCTTTTATAGTACTGTTTTTACAACATTCTCTTCTCATCATTGTGTTCTAATAAATGAGGAGTCTGTCAAGAGACTCACCTGTCATTGTGCTAATGGGGAGACAGATTGCCTGAGCTCCACTGAGCTTTGCCAGAAAGGCTCTGAAGGTAGAACTACCTGCCTACTCTCTTTGGGATTTCTCTGTAAAGGACTTAACAACAACAGGAATATAGAGGACAAAGAAGCGGGAAAGATGCCAAAGCTACTAGAAAAAGAGAAAACAAATTCCTGTAGAACTTCTAGACTCTTATAGGGAGATTTAAGCTTTCCTGCTAGCTTCTCTCCCAGAGGAAATAGAATAAAAAATAAATGTTGTGTCTGTCACCAAACAGGTCAGTGGAGGAAAAACCAGCCAAAGACTAGGCATCCTCATAAGGTCCCTTGCCTTTGATGTGACAAGATAGGGTTCTGGAAGGTCACTGTTCTGAGATTAAAAGCACTCCAGACCAGAATCCCAGATGTTGTTCCTGGAATGAGGAAACCCCCAGTGCCAGTTGGCTTCCAACTGGAACATAATCATCAATGGGATGGAGCCTTGGGTTAATCTTGAAAATGCAATCATGAAGGTTCCAGGAACTGCCAGCTGGATCCATCAGTCCTAACTGAAATCTTGGAAAGGAAACCTTCCAGATGAAGTGTCTCCTATGGACCCTTGGGTAACTCAATACCCAAGTGGCCTTAAAACCTGTTCAAATGAGTAGATGAATAATATCTTTATTATTTGTTCATTTTCCACTCAAAGCCACACTTTGCTAGTCTGTCTTTTGCTCAGGGACATTTGTGTGTTTGTTGGTTTCTGACTTCCTATATTGGAAATGAAAACTAATTCCTTGTATGGGCCTAAGACAGTAAAAGAGGTAACTTTGGGTCAGTGAACTCTTCCCCTCTTGTAGAACTTCCTGACTTCCATGGTGGGCAGTTCTTCTTTAAGGGAATGCTAATAATTCATTACAGCAGTATATTAGTTCAGCCAAAGCTAGTTTCTTCCTCTTACCCTAGGTTATTCCTCTTATGGCCTGGCTACAAAGTAAAATCCAAACCATGTCGACACCACCATCTCTTCTAGCAAATAGCTCTGGACTTGGAGCTTCAGATTTTCATAATGAAGGGGTTACACCCATCACAATCTCAGTAGTGATCGTTAGAGTCTTCCAACCTGCGTACCTAACTGCTGTCTTACTTTATCTGTTCTCAAGTACAATCTAGTCATCTTCACAAGATCCTTCAGCAGTCTAATTCCATGTATTTGTGTCTCTTTGATTGTCCTCCAAGGTCTGAGAAATACCAAGAGTGGAGAGTGGAGATCCTAAATCTTCCTCTGCCCATTGCAGCCAGATGTAGTCAGATTAACTTGAGTCCCAACTCCTAAGTGATTCTGAGCTTCAATTCTTAAGGGGATTTGTGAGATGCTGAGTTTGATATTAGCAGGATTCAAAGCCATTAGGGCTGGACCCTCCTTCACTCCGTGAGACTGCTCCTCTTTACTCTGCAGTAAACTATCTTCTACACTAACAGATACATATATGAACATTTACATACATATATGTACAATATAAATAAAAGCAACAACAAAGGATTTGGAGCTCAAGCATTCTTTACAGTGTATTTTCCATCCATTACATCCATCTTTTATAGTGTATATAGAAGTAGTTTTTTTTCTGATTCATCCACCTGGTATGTTCCTCCAGGTTCTGTCTATATGGTTCACACAGCCAATCAGCAAAGCAAAATGGCAAGAGGGCACCAAGAGTAACAGTATATTGGCAATAGTCATCTCGTGTGTGTGTGTGTGTGTGTGTGTGTGTGTGTGTGTGTGTGTGTGTGTGTGTGTGTGGTGGTAGTTCAATGTGTCATTGAAACATGTTTTAAAATTTAAACTCATTATCAATATCAAGTCTGCCACCTGTGATCATATCTCTCTCTGAAGTCAAATTCATCCCAATTTCTTGACAAGGAAACCAACAACATCACTGCTCACTCCCGGAAAGCTCAAAGGTGAAAACCACTGTCCATACGTGGTTATCTAAATAGCCTAAGTGAATCATAGTGAAATGAAGTTTCAGCCCATTTGTATAGTCATACTAGACACACTTGGCAGTGACCATTACAATGGCTAATTCAGAATCTTTCCATAAACAGAGAAGCTTCTCTTGGGA